GGGTGGCGTCAGCGGCATCCTCCCCCCGCGGGGACCGCAGCCCCCTGAGGTCACCGGCGTCCAGCTGCAGGCAGCCGAGGTGACCAACGTCCAGCTCCAAGCCCTGCCACAACCCTTGGAGGTCACCAATATCCAGCTCCAAGCTGCTGAGGTGACAAATGTCCAGCTCCAAGCCCTGCCACAACCCTTGGAGGTCACCAATATCCAGCTCCAAGCTGCTGAGGTGACAAATGTCCAGCTCCAAGCCCTGCCACAACCCTCCAAGGTGACCAACATCCAGCTCCAGGCCAGTGAGGTGACCAACGTCCAGCTGCAAGCCCTGCCGCAGCCCTTGGATGTCACCAACATCCATCTCCAAGCTGCCGAGGTGACAAATGTCCAGCTACAAGCCCTGCCACAACCCTTGGAGGTCACCAACATCCAGCTCCAAGCCAGTGAGGTGACAAATGTCCAGCTGCAAGCCCTGCCACAGCCTTCCAAGGTGGCCAACATCCAGCTCCAGGCTCTGCCACAATCCTCGGACATCACCAACATCCAACTGCAGGCCGCAGAGGTGACAAATGTCCAGCTGCAAGCCGTGCCACAACCCTTGGATGTCACCAACATCCAGCTCCGAGCCCTGCCACAACCCTCTGAGGTCACCAACATCCATCTGCAGGCCACCGAGGTGACAAATGTCCAGCTCCAAGCCCTGCCACAACCCTCCAAGGTGACCAACATCCAGCTCCAAGCCCTACCACAACCCTTGGATGTCACTGACATCCAGCTGCAGGCCACTGAGGTGACAAATGTCCAGCTGCAAGCCCTGCCACAGCCCTCTGAGATCACCAACATCCAGCTCCAAGCCCTGCAGCAGCCTTCAGAAGTGCCCAGCGTCCATCTCCAGGCCACAGAGGTGACAGATGTCCATCTCCAGGCCACGGAGGTGCCCAACGTCCAGCTGCAGTCCACAGAGGTGACAAATGTCCGTCTCCAAACCAAGGTACCTGACATCCATCTCCAAGCCACAGAGGTGTCCAACGTCCATCTCCAAACCACTGAGGTCCCCAGTGTCCATCTCCAAACCACGGAGGTCCCCAGTGTCCATCTCGAGGCCACAGAGGTGCCTGACATCCATTTCCAGGCCACAGAGGTGCCCAGCATCCAGCTCCAGGCCACAGAGGTGCCTGATGTCCAGCTCCAGGCCATGGAGGTGCCCAACGTCCAGCTGCAGACCACAGAGGTGCCCAATGTCCATCTCAAAACCACTGAAGTGCCCGATGTCCATCTCGAAAGCACTGAGGTGCCCAACATCCATCTCCAAGCCACAGAGGTGCCCAGCGTCCATCTCGAGACCACAAAGGTGACCAATGTCCACCTGCAGGCCACCGAGGTGACCAATGTCCATCACCAAACCATGGAGGTGCCCAGTGTCCATCTCCAGGACACAGAGGTGCCCAGCATCCATCTCCAGGATGCAGAGGTGACTACTGTCCAGCTGCAAGCCACTGAGGTGCCCAGCATCCATCCCCAAACCACGGAGGTGACAAATGTCCATCTCCAGGCCGCAGAGGTGCCTAGTGTCCATCTCCAGTCCACTGAGGTACCCAATGTGCGTCACCAAACCACTGAGGTGCCCAATGTCCATCTCCAGACCACGGAGATGACCAATGTCCATCTCCAAGGCACCAAGATGTCCAGTGTCCATCACCAAATGATGGAGGTGCCCAACATCCATCTCAAGATCGCGGAGGTGCCCAACATCCAATTGAAGACGATGGAGGTGACAAATGTCCATCTCCAGGCCACTGAGATGCGCAACTCCTGTCACCAAATGATGGAGGTGCCCAGCGTCCAACTCAAGACCACGGAGGTGCCTAATGTCCAACTGAAAACCTTAGATGAGGTGCCCAGCATCCAACTCAAGGCCATGGAGGTGCCCAACATCCACCTCAAGACCGTGGAGGAGGTGCCCAACATCCATCTCAAGACCGTGGAGGTGCCCAGCGTCCAACTCAAGACCATGGAGGTGCCCGATATCCAACTCAAGACCGTCGAGGTGCCCAA